AGAAGGCTGGTGTCTGTATGGAAACTCCATATGTAATATTGGTTGATTCATTTAATATTCATGACCTCTAAATGACTGTCAAATACTAAGCACGATACTTGAAACTCGGCTGGAGAAAATATCAGGAGAGTGTCTAGGTCTGCTTGCATTACTACAACAAAATATCTTAGGCTGTAACTTAGACAAAACAGAAATTTACCTCTCATGGTTCATAAGGTTGAGAATCAAAGGCACAAGAGGTCAGTGTTGGGTATGCTCCCCAATTCCAGCAGAGTGGTTTATCTCTTCATATTCTAGAAAGGATGAACTCTGTGTCCTGACATATTGGAGGGGAGAAAAAGGGAGCAAACTTTCTTCTTCAATATGTCACTGACCCACTAAGATGGAGTTATTTTCTCCCACAAGTTTCTTTATGACCCAACTCCCATGTAGTCATTCCTTACTCATTCACTTCCTAAAGAGCAAGCCAGGGTGTTGACCATAGGCCCTCATCTTGGCTTTCCCTTATATGGTTTCAATAACCTGCCGTAACCCATAACCTGAAAATGCATACTGTCAGAGCCAATCTTCAAGTTTAAGTGATTTAAGTCGAGTTGAGCCATTCTTAAAGGCTTGACAAAAAATTGTGGCATCCTGCTCCATCCTGCCTGGGAGGTGTACCATCCCTCTCTGCAGCATATCCATGCTGTGTGTGCTTCCCACCCACCAAGTACCCCCTAGCCATTTGATTACATAGAGTGTTTGACATTGTGTCTTGTTTGTGGTCTCAGAAATCTGTTGTGGGTGTTTGAATGGATCCCCCGTGGACTAAGGGTATGGCTACACCTGTAACTCTGGGACCTGGCGTGTCACATGGACGCTTCATTAGCACTGTTAGAGAGGGACACAGGGTGCCGGCCCCACGGCACTGGCAATCCTGCTAATGGACATTTGGACTTCTCAGTTGTTGTATAGCAAGAGAAAACCAAATGGACCTTTGGAGATGTTCCTTTATCCACAGCCGTAAAAACACTTACAACAGTGGGGGAAAAGTCAAGGAAGAACAATCTCAGCTGCAATGCTTGTGATTGTTTTTGAGTAAAGCTATAAAGCCAAGAGTCCTTACCCACTACCCAGCTGATCTTCCTCCTTTATCAAAACTGACTGGTGGCCCCATGATCTGCATTGTGCTTGCATGTGATAACCATGACACCCAGGGGTCTGCCCCATGGACTGTGACCTTAGCACATTGCTCTCCCAGAATAAATCACTATAGGAGAAAGTTAATGGGGCCCAGGAATGGGGATGTAAGCACAGGACTCTGTAGGGAACAAAGAAAACCCTGGGTGGATGTGTTTTGACACAGGGATGGCCATGTCGAGGACTCTAAGACCTCAGACCCATGGGACATTTGGCAAAGCCATTACCCACATAGGCCATGCTGAAGCGGGGTGGCTAAAATCTTCATGGGAGTCTGAGTCTGAGTGGTCAGTGTGTGCAAAGACTAACGGCTGCCTCCCAGATGCTTACAATCTGAGACTGCTTACCCACAGAGACCTCCTCCCAAGACTAGGCAACCCCTCCCCCTGTACTGTACCTGAGAAATATGCTGGAGTTCCATCCAGGTTGTGGCAGGAGTGGTAGCAGGCCCCACCTGACCCCAGCTTTATTGAACTTGTGTCTGTGTGTCTATCCTTTCTTCATTCCCTCACTGCCCCTACCCAGGGTTCCATGACCTGAGCCTTGCAGGTTGAGGCTAAACACTTTTCATCCTGGCTTTCCATCAAATGTTGGTCTAAGGATTTGTCCTGAGTCCCATGATGGTCTCTGTCTTTCCACCCTCTAGAATTGGGAAGGTATCACAAGCAGGCCTCTTGAGCATAGGTACGAAAGAAGAGAGCTGTTTCATATATTATTTATCTCCAAGAAAAAAAATTGTTGCCCATGACATAACATATCCAGATTATGAAAGAGGAGCTGACATAAGTAACAGTGGGTAGTATTTATATCTGAAATTCAAACCTAAGGCTAGAAGCTTAAGGAATTTACAGCAAAAGAGTGAGGCTGTTTGTCTCTGTCAGTTGTTAAAATAAATAAATATCAATGTCTGCCTGTGCTGCTTCTTGCTCGCCTTTGGCACACTTGCCTCTTCTTCCCACACAGCCTAGGACTGCACAGGGACTCCAGCTCCACTCAGCGTCCAGAGAAAGCAAGACTCAGATCCAGGCAGCTGGGAGGTGGCACCACTTAGATGGCAGTAGGGCACATGTTTGATTCAGGGAGAGGCTTTGTACATTTGGTAGTGAAGGGTTTCCATTCTGTGATTTGAATGTGCCCCGAAGTCCTCATATTGCACACTTGATCTTCCATGCATCCATATTAGTGTTGGACATGAGGTCTCTGCACCCACAAGTGGGTTAAAACTAGCAGCAAAGGATAGAGGTGGTGATTCCAGATCCTGTTCTCTGTCCCCTGCTCCTGTCCACTTTCCATAATGGGATGACACACCAGGATGTCCCTTGCTCTAGAATCTTCTACCCTCAGAACTGCAGGAGATCAGTTATATATTACAGTCTCCTGTATTATGCTACAGCAATCCATGCCAAGTAGACTACTTTTTCTCACCTCTTAGTAGAGTGCATATGTTTTTCTTACAGCTTTATGTCATGTATATAACTGAGGAAGTAATATCTGTTGTCCTGACTTCTCTAATGGAAGCTCCTGGTTTAGGTGCTTTTTGGGGAGAGGCTTCAAAACTGTCGTTTGGGTTCTCCACTGACTAGACCTAAGCATTTCTTCTTTTGCCAAGCAGTTTCTCCTAAACATGAGGTAAACCACTTCTAACTTATTGCAACTGTGAAGTAATTATGTTCTCCTGAGTACATAGCAACCTTACCTGTGTTTTCTGATTCAGCTCTAGTATACAACAGATCAACTGACTGAATGGCTTAAATACCACTCACAGTTCTAGAGCACTGTTCTTGAGAAATCCAAACACCTGCTTCCTGGTTTTCACATGAGTTGTTCCTGGCACCCTCACAGCAGAGCACAGTGTTTCTTCCTATAAGGACTCTAATCCCATGCATGAGAACTTTACCCCAGGAGCCCTACCTTCTAACATCATGCCATTGGCGGTAAGATTTTAGCATATGAGTCTGAGGGTTGGTTCATAGAAGTGTATAGCTCAAGCATGAACACTTCTGATCTTTTTTAGTTCTAAATGGGCAGGGATGAATGAGCCTTCTATTAGGCATCACAGAAAAACCATGATCAGACGTGCAACCTGGGAGAAATATCTTGTTAGAAAAGGGTGGGCGAGCTCATCCTAAAGTATCACATTCTTACAGAAAGTGGAATTATAGAAAGGACAAAGAAGGTGATGGGACAAACATGGAGAGGAGAAGATGGCATCTTGGTTTGGTGGAGCATGTCTATCTAGTAATGAATAGGGAGTATTTCCACTGCTAAAACAAAATGCCTAAGTAAATCAAGTTAAGAGGAGGGAAGGATTGTGTCAACTCATATCTTCTAGCCACAGGCACTTGGCCTGGTTGCTTCGAATGTTCAAAGCACAGTGTATCATGAAAGGTTGTTCACTTCATAAGGCTTGGAAGCAAGAATAGAAAATGGAATCTCTAGGGCTCCAATATTCCCTGCAAGGAAAGGTAAAAAATGGCCATATCCTCCGTTGACTCCACCACCTTCCTCTCTGGTCTGGCCACTGGCTGTCCACCAAGCCTTTGACTCTGCAGCAGGATGCAAAGGTGTTTTCATCCTTCTCATTTCCTCTCATTTTTAAGAAATGGCCCCACTGCTGTGAAGTATTTCATCTTCCTGTCACTGGGAAAATCTACTTGCCCATAACTATCCCCCTTGAACTTGGAGAAAGTGAACGCAAAAGAGAGAGCCTGGGTATGAAATGGGGAATTTTAAAGAGTTTGATCACTTTGTGTCTTTCACCCTAGAGTGGTTCATTTGAGCTGAAATACAATTAGGAAGAAGTTAAGATATAGAGTAGACTATTTTATTATTACCCAGCATATTAGTGGTCTCTGCTTGTATGTTTTCTGTTTGTTTTGAGACAGGTGTAGTGTCTTGCTGTATGTAGCTGAAGATGACTTTGAACTTATGACCCTCATACCTCAGCCCTCAAAGTGCTGCAACTACAGTCATTACTACCATACCCTGTGAGATTCACCAGTTTTTCCTTATGTACTCATGAAGAAAGTCTATTTGTTAGCCCCAGTAATTCTATGAAACATATAGAGCGACTTGGAAAATTAACTTAATTCTGTATTTCAGTTTATATACATATATTTATTTATAATACTTATTATAACTAGTAATAAAATGACAGTGAATGATACTAGCAGACATTTCCTGAAGGTTTACATTTTGAAGCATAATCTTAACTCATAACAGCCAGGAGTGTAGGCATAAGATGTACACAAGATGAAGCCAGCCAGAATCCTAGCTCATGAAGCTGCACCTGTATAGGAGGATTCGTTGGCAGTAGATGGCTACCGAGAGAGGGAGAATCATTTTCTTCAGAGAGCTAGGCCCTGAGAGGGTACCTATGTTTCAGTAGGTGATTCTACACCTATGCACAGACAGCACTAAATAAAGTCAGTGACTATTAAATTAGATAGATAGATAGATAGATAGATAGATAGATAGATAGATAGATAGATAGATAGCAAGAGAGCGCACATGAAGTTGGGAGGGAAAAGTAATAAGCAGAGGAGGAGTTGGAGGGGAGGAATGGGGTGGATTATATCCAAACACTGTAAGAATATTAATCAAAATATTTAACTTAAGAAAACATAATTATAACATGGTCAGTGGGTATAGGTTTGAGTATTGATGTCCTTTGCATCTAGGAAAGGGTCAATCGCAAACATCATTGATTAAACAGCGCTGACTTTCCTCACATATGCGATTTGCTGCTGCAGCTCACATGTAGCAAAATCAATGTGTGGTTCCACCCCACCCCTGCTGAGCTCCTTCTATTTCAGGTCTTAATGAGCAGGAAGAAGGTCCGGGCCTGCATTGGGAGGGACATTGGCGACAAGGCTCAGACCTGCTCTGGTAATTAGTGTTACCCTGCCTCTGGCGACCAGAGAGGGGTCCTTTCAGTACCTCTATGTAATGTAATTTCTTTGAGTTTATATATATAAACTCGTAAGAAAAAGGAAATAATTCAAAGCACAAATCACAAAGAATCCAGTTTTTAAGTTGTCTTAAATGAAGGATAAGGTTGAAGGGAAGGGATAGTTTTTGCTTTTTTTCCCCTATCCAATTAATATAAATTGGCATTTGGTGTTCACTGAGGACCATGGAGGGAACCCAGGGGTAAAGACCACGAAGCCACCGGGTACAAATCCTTTGTGGTTGCTCTGCCTGGCTCTGAAAATCCCCAGGCACACATCGCCTTTACACAGCAACCAAATGAAATCATTCTTATCCATTAAAAAAACACCCGCAAATGACTTCCTAAATAACTGCCATTTTATCTCTCTTTGGCATCCAAATACATTATTAAAAACTCCAAGGGCTTAGAAAAATGTCTGTTAGAAGTTATTTTCAGGAAAAGCAAAAGGAGTAATCATGCAGAATTTTCTTTCAGTCAAAAAGGGAAATGTTATATTAAAAAACAACAACAAAAAACCCAAAAATGTTCCCTTAAAATTACCTAAGAAGGAACTCTTTAATAGAAAAGTAATTTTTTGGATTAATAACTTACCAGATTAAAATATTTATTTAGAGTATTTTTGCCTGATAACTTCTGACTGCTTTTCTAGAAAAAAAGCATTTGAATTAAAATTTCAAAAAAAAAAAATCAGCGATGGTCTGACTTTAAAGGCTAACTGTATACAATAGAGAGTGTGATAACCTGCTACTAACGTACTCGGAAACTCTTTGTACGATGGTATAGAGCTAGCAGACATACAGGGAACTAAAACTGGGTAACCCAGGAGAGGCTGCAGATAGTCTGACCTAAGTCACAGCCCACAGACATTAGCCCAGGAGGATCCACGGACTGGACTGATAAGTGAGGCTGTGAAAGCAAGGCTAGTGGGAGTCTCTGCTCCAGGTGGTCGCTCACACCTGGAGCCAGTGGGGCACTGAGTGTAGCCCGCGTGTCTGTAAGACAGCCAATGGAGGCTACAGACCTGGCCTTTGCAGTTCCTGTCATGAGTGTTAAGTGGATGCCCTCGGAACTGTCTATGAGAATAGCTGTGTCCTTTCAGAATGGTCCAGTTTAGCCAACACAAAAACTGAGTATCGTGAACAGATCCTAACCAAAGCTTCTGTAGACACAAGACCAGGAAGAGAAGCCACAGAGATGTCTCCGCAGTGAAGAGTAAGGGCCTGGGTTCGTATCTCAGCACCCACATAACAGCTAACCATGTTCCTAGGAATGTCTGCAGCCCCAGCACTGTGGGGAATGGAAACAAGGGTTTGCTGCCTTCCAGCCAGCTGAAAACTAAATGCAAGCTTCATATTCACGGAGAGGCCATACCGCAAAAGAATAAGGTGTAGAGTGATAGGGAACCACCCAGCACTTTCCTCCGATTTCTACTCACACCACAGGCACATGAAATTACCCAACCCATACACATAATACACTCTCATACACATCATACCCACACATACAGGTTTTTTTAATTAAAAAAAAAAGAAGATTGAACTGGCTAGTAACATTTACATGAAGAAGGTCTTGCTGGTAAAAAAAAAAGAAAGAAAGAGAGAGAGAGAGAGAGAGAGAGAGAGAGAGAG